ATCGGGGGCGGAGAAGAGGGGGGTTATGACTGGGGGGGGGGGGATGTCATGGCGTGGGCCACGATATTTCCCCAGATTTCAGGGCGCCTCTTCTTATTTCATTACGTCCCTGGCCCCCCCGCTGGGCCGCGCACATGCCGCCGGTCATGATTTGCACACTCCTCTCTTGGACACCCCCTCTTGGCCGCTCCCGAACTCAGATTGTCATCGCCTTTGTTTGGCTTGTGAATCAAGGGGATCGGGTGAGCTCGAGGCCTGGGAGGTTCTCGGCCTCCCAGATGGGGTCGGAGTACCTGGGGTCGGGGGCTCGTGCCGCGTTGCCGATGCAGCGGCCCTGCGGCTCGATGTGGGGCCCGATGTTCACCTCGCCGACGTCGCTGGTGCATCGCCGAGGCATCGCGGATGCATCGGCGAGGCGGCGCGATCCTGCGACCCCATGCTGCTCGGGCCCCAGACCCCCGACGTCATGATTTTTTCATGACGTCGACCCCAGCGGTTTGGACCCTTTCCCCGGGACCGGTTTTTCGTCCTGAGTCGTTTTTTGACGGTCCCGAGGGCCGGTAAGGGCCCTCGAAGGCCAAAAATCATGAAAAACCTCCGGTTATGATTTTTTCATAACTCGAGGGGGCCTCGGGCCCCATCTGATGGAGGCCTCTCGGCAGGTGACCCCGCTGATGGCCGCGGCGCGCCACGGCCGGGGGGCGGCGCTGGAGCTGCTGCTGGAGGCGCGCGCGGACGTGCTGCGGACGGACGTGCGCGGGCGCACCGCCCTGGACCACGCCTTCCGGAGGCCGGCGGGGGGGGGGCGGGGGGCGGCAGGCCCAGACCCCCTCGAGTTATGACAAAGTCACGACGGGACCCTGACCTTCCACAGAGTTGTTTTTTAGCACTGGAGACTTAAAAACCTAAAAAGCTGAGCGAAACAGCCTAAAACCAAGACGTAGGATAGTTTTGGGATAGGTTTTTAAGTCGGGTGCATTTTTTTGCCCTCCTGGAAGGTCAGGGGGGGGGGGGCAGGCCCTCGAGGTACGAAGAAATCGCGACGGGTTTTTTTTTTCGTCGTTTTCGGCCCCTGGGGGCCCTTCCCGGCCCTCGGGGCCGTCAACAGACGACTCAGAGGACGAGAAGCCGGTCCCGGGGGGGGGGGTCCAGACTCTGCGGGGGGTCGACGTCAGGAAACATGCATGACGTCGGGGGTCTGGGGGGGGGCATCGTAACCGTGGCCGGGGACAGGGGGGGGGGGCGCGTGAGGGCCGAGTGGGGGAGGGGGCATCATGGCCGGGGCCATGGGATGTCCCCGATGCCGCGCCCCCCCGCTTCTTCTAGGTGCCTTCTTCGTGTGTAGTTTGGCTACTCGCAGTTGTCTCCTTCTTGTTATTACGATGGAGACTCATAGGATGCGTCTTCTTATCCTGAACACTAGCATTGCCATGCGCATGCTTGGTATTAGCATTATCCTGGTGATGGTAGTGTGTCTTCTTAGTCTTCTTAGTACGAGTCGTAGTAATAGTCCTACTTGATCGTCTTATGATTATCTTCTTTTTGTGGTGTTCTCATCAATATGATTAGGATCATCTTTAATATGCTTGGGGGGTACTACTACTGCTATCTTTTATTATTCGTCGCAATGGTATTGCTATCCACATTGATGTGATTATTGTTATTGTTGTTCGTCTTCTATCCAGGCATACCCTCCACTGGCCCTTCCCCGGCCCCCTTTCCCCCGGCCGTGCAGCTGCCGATCGGACCATGGTGTGCCGGCCCCTCCTCTTTCCGTCTCCCCCCCCCCTCCCCGGCGCACTCCCCGAGCAGGCCAGAGACGGAGGAGCACCTGCGGGCCTGGGGCGCCTTCACGGGCAGGGAGCTGCAGAGGCAGGCGACCAGCCTGGCGCGCCGCGTGCTGCGCATCGAGGAGTTCGGTGGCAGATCACGGAAGCCCTGGTGTAGCCTCTTGATTCCGTCTTTAGTGTCGACTATCGTCGACTAGCGTCTGGGAGTCGATGAGGTGGCCCCGATTTAGCGTCGGCTAACGTCGATGAGCGTCGATCTATAGTGCCGATAAGCGTCGAGTTAGCGTCGACTGGCGTCGATGTAGCGTCGATTCGCGAGAGCCGACAAGATCGTATGGGAGGCCCCCATGAGTTGCCACCGAAGAGGAGGAGCGCCGCAGGCTCGAGGCCAAGTGCGCCAAGCTGCCCAGCAAGGAGGTGCGGGAGCGCATCCTGGCCAGGCGGGGCAGCATGAGCATGCCCGACTGGAGCCCGAAGCGCAGCCCCGACGGGAGCCCCCACATGAGCCCCGAGATGAGCCCCACCGGGAACCCGGTCGCCTGGCCGCGGGCCCGGCCGCGCGGGGACGCCCCGCTGCTGCTCGCGGAGATGCCCGAGGGCAGGTCCGGGCCGCGCAGGTCCTTCACCGAGTCCCCCGAGCTGGAGGGGAGCGGAGACCTGGGCCGGGCGGCGCGCCGAAAAAAAGAGGGGCGGCCCGAGGGGCGCGGCCCCTCTGAGCAGGCCCCCCCCCCCCTCCCGCCGTCCGAGGGGCCTCCCCGGTGGCCGCGGGGCCATCCTATATGGGCTTCCGCGAGGCCCCGCCGCGCCCCCTCGGAGGGCCGCCTGCCCCTCCCCCTTCCCCCCCCCCGCACGCCCCGCCCCTCCCGCGCGCGCCGCCCCGGAGGCCGAGCGCTCGCGGAGCCGGGGCCGCGGAGGTCGCCGGCGGGGACCGCGGAGGCCGGGCAGCTGCCCAGCGCGCTCGCGCGGCGCACGCCGACGGGCTCCCCGCCCGTGAAGCGGGAGAGGCCGCCGGTGCGGATCACGCTGCCGGTGGAGTCGCGCCACGCGCGGTGACAGGGCCACGCGCCGCGGGGCGCGCGCAGGGCGCGGGGGCGGCGGCCGCGGCTCTCCAAGAGGGGCAGGGCGCGGGGGCGGCGGCCGCAGCTCTCCAAGAGGGGCGCAGGGGGCGGGGGGGGCCCGCCGCCAGCGCTCGCGGCTCGAGGGCGGGGGGGGGCTCCCCGATCGGGGGCCCCCCTCCGGCGGGGGAGGGCCCCTTCGAGAGAGGCCCTCTCCGCCTGCCTCCTGCCCGGCGGCCCAGAGCCCCGGGCACGCTGGAGCTTGTTTTTTTTGATTCAGGCAAGTTTACTTGCATGGCGTTCGCCCCCTCTTCAAGCGAACACGAGCGTGAGCGTGCAAGTGCCTTTCGACTTGCGTGATTTCCGCACGTCGAATTGTTTTCGGCTTGCTTCAGACTCAGCCCCCCCCCCCCGTCCATGCAAGTAAACTTGCCCGAATCTAAAGAAAAACAGGCTCCTGCGGGCTCGCCCGGCCCGGGACCCCTTCCTAACCTCCGGGCCCCCTCCCAAGAGGCCTCCGGGCCGCCCCCTCCCCCCGCCGCTGCCCGGGCCGCTGGTCCACGAGCCGTGCCGCTCCGCCCGGGTCCCCGTCCTGTCCCCCCCCTCGAGACCCCCCCCCTCGCCGAAGCCCCGAGCCCCTCACTTCTGTCCCCAGACCTCCAGTCCCGAGGGCCGGCAAGGAGGGGAAGGAAGAATGGCAGAAGCATGAAAATTTGGAGGCCCTCACGGATTTCTCGGCTCGGCGCTGGACCCCCTTGGCGGCGCCTCCGGCGCCGCCCCTGGCGCGCTCCGCGCGCCAGGGAGGGGGGTCCAGCGCCGCTCCGAGAAATCCGCGCGGACCTCCGCGTGAGTATGTTTTGGTCATTGCTCGCTTCCCTACCAGAGGCCGAAAATCTGGAAAACACCCCCGTCGCGATTTTTGTCATGGCCAGGCGCCAAAAGTCGATCCTCGGACCTCTCCTTGGGGGCGCCGACGGGAAGGTCGAGGCGAATCCCGCCGCGGCCACGAGGGCGCCCCAGGAGGACGGAGAGCCTCCAGAAAGCGAGCCTCGACCCTCGAACCTCGAGCCTCGACCCTCGAACGGCGATCCTCGAACCCCCAGGACGATCCTCGAACCTCGAGCCTCGATCCTCGATCCTCGAACCTCCAGGACGATCCTCGAGCCTCGAGCCTCGATCCTCGAATCTCGCAGCACGAGCCTCGAAATCCTCGAGATCCTCGAGATCCTCCGCCCTCGAACGGCGCGGGCCACCGGCCCACGAGCCGCACCGCCGCGCCAGCGAACCGCGCGCCAGCGAACCGCGCGCCAGCGAGCCGCGGCGGCGAGGGAAAGGCCCGCGCCCCGCGGCGCGGACGCCGCCCGCGCCCGCCTGCGGGGCGGACCGCCCTGCGACGGCCCGCGGGCGCCGCGCGCGCGCGCGCCGCGGGGCCTCTCGGCACCCTGACCTTCCAGGAGGGCTAAAAAATAGCGCCCGACTTGAAAACCGATCCCAAAGCTATTCTACGTCCTGGTTTTGGGCTGTTTCGCTCAGCTTGTTAGGTTTTTAGGCCTCCAGTGCTAGAAAAATAGCTCTCTGGAAGGAAGGTCAGGGTGCCCAGACCCCCCTCGGGCTCGGACAAAAATCGCGACGGGAGGCTTTTCGCCGTTTTCGGCCTCTGGGGGCCCTTGCCGGCCCTCGGGACCGTCAAAAAACGACTCAGGACGAAAAACCGGTCCCGGGGAATGGGTCCAGACCGCTGGGGGTCGACGTCATGAAAAATTCATGACGTCGGCGGTCTGGGTCGGGCTCTGACAAAAATCGCAACGGGAGGTTTTTCGCTGTTTTCGGCCTCTGGGGGCCCTTGCCGGCCCCTGGGACCAGGAGAAAACGATTCGGGACGAAAGACCGGTCCCGGGGGATGGGTCGAGACCTCTGCAGGGGCGACGTCATGAACAGATCACGACGTCGGGGGTCTGGGTACACGCCGGTCGTTGAAAGTAGGTTTTTGGGGGATTCTCAGATCCCAATCTGCTTTTGGTGCATTCCTTCTTCAAGGGTCGACTGGTGTCCTTCTTCCCTCATCTTCAAGGGTTGCAAGGATCGACTGGTGTCCTTCTTCCCTCATCTTCAGGGGCTGGGCGGAAGCCCAATCTGCTTCCAGCGCCTTCCTACTTCATGTTGCTACCCACTTCTTCTGACCGGCGTGTACGGTCGAAGTGGGCACGGGAAGAGGGGGAGACGAAAACCCAGAAAATATAGGAAAATATCAAGAATCCTGGGATTTGTGTGTGTACGTGTTTGTGTGTCCTTGGGCCCCGTTACGATCGAAAGTGGCGCCTGTCCGTTCTAAACAGGAGTCGCTGTCGGTGTCGCCGCGGGCGGTGCCCATGTGAGGCACCAGCTCGCCTGCCCAACCGCGGCCGCTGCCGATGCGGGACAACATGTGCCGTGAACATCGTGCCCAGCTCTCCCGTGCAGTGGAGACCCATGCCAGGGAACACCCTGCTTGCCTCCAGGGTGCCCTGGGTTTCTTGGGTCTCAATGTTTTTGCCATGGGGCACGTGACGCGCTCCAACACACACACACACACACACACACACACACACACACACACACACACACACACACACGCACACACACGCACACACACACAAATCGGTGGGCGTCCTGGGGACTCAGGCGTGGGTTGCTTCTGGGGTGGCCTCCTCTGCACGCATGTCGGGCGCCCACGCTCGCCGCCGCAGGCCTCGCGAGCGGAGAGCGCGCGGCGCGCCCGGCGGCGGCGGCGGCGGCGGGCGGCCGCCCTCCCCGACGGCAGCCCCGCGCCGCTCCAAGACAGCAGCGGGAGGCTTCCCTGACCTTCCATGGAGCTATTTGTTAGCACTGGAGACCTAAAAATCAAGAAAGCTGAGCGAAACAGCCCAAAACCAAGACGTAGAATAGTTTTGGGATCTGTTTTTTTTTGAGTCGGGTGCTATTTTTTAGCCCTCCTGGAAGGTCAGGGTTGGGGCTGCTCTCGGCCTCGGGGGGGCCGGCCGCTTGCCGGGCCCCGGGGCCGTCAAAACGTCATTGCTCGGCATGTGTTGCTCCCCCAACGCCTAGAATTTTCCGACGAAAACTGAAGCCGCTCAGAACAGGCGGGAACTCTTGCGATGCACCCCGAGGACGCTATTCGGGCGCGCCCCTGTCGAGGATGGGCGGCACCCCCCCTCGTAGATCCCAGGACTGGGCCCCAGATTCCTGGTCCCTTCGATACCCCACGAAGCCTAGGATAGGGCTCGACATAGGCCCCCCCAGAGCGGCCGAACATCACCACAAACCACCCGCCGTGACGTTTCCCTCGCCCCGGGCGGCGCCCCCGGAAGTCCCGACCCTTTCCCCGGGGCCGGTGTTTCGTCCTGAGTCGTTTCTTGACGGTCCCTGGGCCCGGCGACGGCCCCCAAGGGCTGAAAATAGTTCCCCCCCCCAACAAAAATTGTGCCGTTTACGACGCTATCATGTCTGGGGCTCGAGGGGGTCTGGGCATCGACGAAGGAACCAGGACACCGCGTGTCTGGGTCGGCGGCGCTGCGCGGCGCGGCGGGCCTCGCGGGCGGCGAGGGGGCCTGCGGGCGACGCCCGGACACGGTGCCGGAGGGCGGCGCCGCACCCTTCCTCTCGGCGGCCCCCCCGGCGGCGGGCATGGAGGGCCGCGCTTGCAACTGCCTCCTCCTCCTCCCCCTCCTCCTCCTCCTCCTCCTCCTTTTCCTCCTGCTCCTCCTCCTCCTCCTCCTCCTCCTCTCATCCTCCTTCCTCCACCCTCCTCATCCTCCTCCTCCTCCTCCTCCACCATCCTCCCTCCTCTTCTTCCTCCTCTTCCCCATCCTCCTCCCTCCTCCTCGACCTCCTCCTCCCTCTCTCCCTCTTCCTCCGCCCCCCTCTCTCGCTCCCACCTCCCCCCTCCCGCCCCTCCCCCAAGCCGCGTGGACCGTGGCGCACAGGACGCTCCAGGCTGATCCCCCGCCTTCCCTCCTCCTTCTCCTTCTCCTCCTCCTTCTCCGCCTCCTCCTCCTCCTCCTCCATTCCTCCTTCTCCTCCTTCTCATCCTCCTCCTTCTCCGCCTCCTCTTCTTCCCTCCTCCTCCTCCTCCTCCTCCTCCTCCATTCCTTTCTCCTCATAGATGACTCCTTCCTGTCGCACCCCAAGGCCAGTCGAAAGGGCGGGGCCTGAGACTTCCTCACAATTCACGACCCTGATGCCAAGACATCGACCACAGTTTCACAGATGGAAAGCGGGTGGCTTTCAAAATGTGGCGCTCGCCTGAGCGCCGCGCACATTCGATAAACAACAGTTGCAACAGTTTCACGACTGAGGGCGTTTCCTTTCAAAATGTGATGCGGCTCTCGCCCGCGCAAATTCGTTTTATTCGTTTCACACCTTTGCAAGAGTTTCGCGGATTGAGGGCGGCTCGTTTTCAAAATGTGGCTCTCGCCTTAGCGCCGCAATTACTTTGCAAGAGTTTCACTGGTTGAGGGCGGGCCGTTTTCAACATGTGGCTCTCGCCTCCCCCCCTCCCAGTGCCGCGCACATTGTTTTAAACATTTGCGCATTTGCAAGAGTGTCACTGGTTGAGGGCGGGCCGTTTTCAACATGTGGCTCTCGCATTAGCGCCGCGCACATTCGTTCCAGAAATTTGCAAGCGTTTCATGGATTCAGGGCGGGTCGTTGTCAAAGTGTGGCTCATGCATTAGTGCCGTGCACATTCGTTTAAAACATTTGCAAGTGTTTCATTGATTCTCATACTTAGCGTACCAGTAATGGTGTTTTGGAACGGTTCAGGATCATCAGGGCGCAACACTTACGCTAAATTCGCAGTGGTGAAGTCTCAGGAATGGTGTTCTGGCACGATTCAGGATCGCCATGAGGTGTCAATCAGGCTTATTCGTGGCGTTGAAGTCCTGAGAAAGATGTTCACACGGTTGCCCTCCAACGCGGCAATTCTTTCAGTGGATCTAACCTTGTGTAGGAACTTAATTATTTTCCTTTCGTATCTTATTTTTTTTTTTGGTCCTTGTCATTTTGGCATTTGTTGTTTCTTTGTCTCTTTTTCTCCTTTTTTCTTTTGTTCGTTCCTCTTCTTTTTCGTTGTTTTCTGTGTGGAGAAAGACAAGAGGATCTTGGTAGGGAGCTACAGTAGTGACAGGCAGGTCCCACCCTGGGTTCGCACTGGTCCTCCTCTTCCTCCTCCTCCTCCTCTCCGCCTCCCCCTCCCCTCGCCTCCTCCTCCTCCTCCTCCTCCCTCCTCCTCCTCTGCCTCTCCTCCTCCTCCTCCTCCTCCTCCTCCTCCTCCTCCTCCCCCGCCCCCCCCCCGGCCCTGGCCGGACCGAGAGCCTCTGGGCACGCTGCCCGCGGCCGCGGCCGCCCCGTGGGCACCAGCTCGCCCAGGGGGGCGCCGCGGCGCCGCTCGACGGGCTTGCCTGGCTGCCGCCGCGCCCTCCCGCGGCGGCGCCCGGGCGGGCAGCCGCCGCCGCCTTCCTCGGCGGCGGCGCTGCCGCGCGGGGGGCGCCGCTGCGGTGCGTGGCGCTGCCAGGACCTGGAGGGGATGGTGGTGGTGCTGCTGCTGATGACGGTGGTGGTGGTGGTGACGACGACGAGGAGGAGGTGGCGCAGGAGGAGGAGGAGGACGAGGAGGGGAAGGAGGAAGAAGGAGAAGAAGCACTCCGTGTGGGCAAAGTTCGTCCATCAACTGGGGGGGCCAGGAGGAGGAGGAGGGGGAGGAGGAGGGGGAGAGGAGCAGTGGGAGGAGGATGAGGATTTGGAGGAAGAAGAGGATACTAATGCTGCTGCCGATAATGCTGATGCTGCTGCTAATGCTGATGATGATCTTCATGCTGATGATAATGATGATGATGATGATGATGATGATGATGATGATGATGATGATGATGATGATGATGATGATGATGATGATGATGATGCTAATGATGATGCTAATGATGGTGCTGCTGATGATGGTGATGATGCTGATCAGGATGATTATGCAGATAATGATGATGGTACTGACGATGATGATGCTGATGCTGTTGATGATCATAATGACGACGACAATGATGGTGATGCTGATGATTGTGATGATGACGATGATGGTGATGATTCTGATGATGGTGATGATGCTGTTATTGGTGATGATGACGCTACTGGTGAGGATGAATGTGATGGTGATGGTCATGATGATGATGATGATGATCATGATAATGCTGATGAACAGGAGGATGAGGATGAGAAGGAGGAGGATATGGAAGAATAAAAAGAGGATACGACTGATGATCAGTATGAAGATGAAGCTGCTGATAATGATCACGACGATGGTTTTGATGATTCGGATGATAATGCTGCTGATGTTGTTGATGATGATGATGATGATGATGGCGAGGCTGATGAGTATGCTGCTGCTCAGGATGCTGATGATGACGATGATGCTGCTGATGATGATGATGATGATTACGCTGGTGGTTTTGGTGGTGGTGATGATGATAATGCTGCTGCTGATGATGATGCTGCTGAAGATAATGCTGATGATGCTGGTGCTGATGATGGCGATGATGATACTGATGATGACGAGGATAATGATGCTGCTGCTGCTGATGATGATGATGCTGATCATTCTGGTGGTTTCGGTGATGATGATGCTGATGATGATGATCATGATGATGATGATGATGATGATGATGATGATGATGATGATGATGATGATGATGATGATGATGATGATGATGATGATGATGATGATGATGATGATGATGATGATGATAATGCTGATGATGCTATTGGTGATGCTGCTGCTGCTGCTGCTGATGATGATGATGATGATGAGGAGGAGGAAAAACCGGTCCCATGGCAGGGCACAGGGGAACGCCGCCTGACTCCAGGACACATTCACCTCGCGTCGCAAAGGCTGTTTGTTAACAACGACGACGCAAACACAACATATTAGGTGCTGCTAGTTTTCGCTGTTGTACCTGTGTGTATGCTTGTGTGTGCGTGTTTGTCTGTCTGTCTGTCTGTCTGTCTGTCTGTCTGTCTGTCTGTCTGTCTGTCTGTCTGTCTGTCTGTCTGTCTGTCTGCTTGCTTGCTTGCTTGCTTGCTTGCTTGCTTGCTTGCTTGCTTGCTTGTGTGTGTGTGTGTGTTTGTTTGTTTGTTTGTTTGTTTGTTTGTTTGTTTGTCTGTGTGTGTATATATATTTTTTTCGGCCTTGGTGGGCCCTTCCCATGTCCTGTGTCGGGAGGAGCAGGAGGATTCGGTAGCAGATCATGGGAGCCTTGTGTACCCTCGAAATTCTGTCTGTAGCGTCGCTTTAGCGTCGATAAGCGTCTGGGAGTCGATGAGATAGCGCCGATTTAGCGTCGGTTAGAGCGTCGATTTAGAGTCGACTTGCGAGCCGACAGGACGGTATGGGAGGCTCCCGTGAGGTGCCACCGGAGGAGGAGGAGGAGGAGGAGGAGGAGGAGGAGGAGGAGGAGGAGGAGGAGGAGGAGGAAGAGGACGAGGAGGAGCAGCAGGGGGAGAAGACAGACGAGGGGGGGGAGGGGGGGCACAGCTCCATCGCCGTGCTTCCTCGCGACGCGGGCCCCCCGCAGGTCGGGGCCCCATCCCCCGGGCTGGCCTCGCACCCCTCACTGGCTCTTCTGCACGGCCCCGAGGCCCAGCCGCGGGCCACGCGAGACGGCCCGCCCCGGACCCCCGGGGCCGAGCCGCCGGGGAGTGGCCCGGAGGCTCTCGCCGTGGACTCTGCCGCAGCGCGGGCAGGCCAGCCACAGCTGGGGGAGCCGTGGTCCTCGCCCCCCCCCCCTGGGGGGACACCGTCGATCTCGACGCCCCTCTCGAGAGATCGGCGAGGCGATGGGATCCCCCAGGGGGGGTACGGACCACAGCCCCCCCAGTTCTGGCTGGTCGGGCGAGGGGGTCTGGCTTTGGGGCTGTTCCTCGGGCCTTCGGTGGCCGATCGGGACGATCCGGGCACCCCCAGAACGGCCTCGGCGAGGGAGAGCCGCTGGGAGGCATCCAGGGCGGGAAAACCCGCCAAGGGCCCACGAAATCGCACAACACATGCCGAAAACCGTCGTCGCGACTTCTTCGCGACCCCTTCTGGCGGTATGGCTTGTGCGTGCATGCGATTCCTGCGCGGCCCCGAGAAGTCCGGGGCGCCCTTGAGTGGCAACGCAAATCAGGGGAGGACGGGCTTGGGTCGGGTCGGGCGAAAGGGGGGGATTGGGAAAGGGGGGGCTACGAAATTTGCTGCATGCAGCTGGTTTCGGCCTCACCGAGGGGCCCATTCCTCGATACATGGCCGCCTCGGGCGCCGGGAGGCGCCGGGAAAATCAGCCGGGAGGCGCCGGGAAAATCAGCTACCGAGCTGATTCTAAACCCCCCCTTTGCTAAACCACCTTCGCCCGACCCGATTATTGGGGGTGGGGGAGACGTCGACTGGAGGTCGGCGCGGCATCGCACGATGTGATCGGCGATAGGGCCCCGACAGCCAAGCCGCCCCCGCGTCGTGGCGGGGCTGGTGGGCCCATCGCGGCCCCTGCGGGGAGGATGCGGGCGATCGGGGGTCGAGAGGAATCCCTCCCACGGAGAAGATTGGCGCGGACGTCTTGTCGTGAGTTCCTGCAGGGGGGGGGGGGACACAATGTTTCGCGAACTTTCGCGATCACCCCCGCTCGTCCGCCGCCGAGAGGCGCCGACCGTTCTTGTGCTGTTTCTTGTGTGCGTTCCTGCAGACACAATTCAGGTGGGGAAAAACACACACAGACACAATCAATCATCGATTCTCAAGAAAATATGGGAAAATATGGGAGGTGGGGGGGAAGACAAACACCAAGAAAGTGTGGGGAAACATGGGGAATCCTTTTATTTGTGTGTATTTATTGGTGTGTCCTGGTGCCCCTTCAACAATGTTTCCGAGCTACGCCAGAGAATTGGTACGCCATCCTTCAAAGAAGACAGCCACACGCATCATCTACAATCATGTTTTCGTCGTCGATGCGCGCGGAGCGCTGCGGCGCTGTGCGTCCACCCCCGCAGTCGGGACAGCCTTCGCTGTAGGGGCATGCGTTCGTTCGGTCGAGCCCATCTCCCCCTGACGTTGCCCCTGAGTCCTGCTGTCAGGGGCAACGATCGGGGGGGATAGACATAGGGGGGAACTCATCGACACCCAGTCGCCCCTTGCTCGCCGATAGGGGCCCGATAGCCCCGACCTGCCCAGGCAGTATCGGACTCGCTCTCGGAGGCCTGTCGCCGATCTATCGGCGATGTATCGCCGGTTCCAGGCCGCTGTGCCCCAACCTGTGCCAGTCCCCCCCCTCACGTTGCCCCTGAGTCCTGCTGGTCAGGAGGGGAAAAAACACACAGACACAAGTAATCCTCGATTCCGCAGAAAATATAGGAAAATACGGGAAGTGGGGGGGAAGACGAAAACCCAGAAAATATAAGAAAATATGGGGAATCTGGTTATTTGTGTGTGTATTTGCTTGTGTGTCCCAGGGCCCCTTCAGCTGGCGCCGCCAGGACCGGGGCCAGCGGCGCCACCACACTGGATGCCGATCTCGCGGCCCTGCCGCGCCGCTGCGACGGCCTTCCCCCCGCGGGCGCGGGGCGCGCCGCGGGAGCCTGGCGCAGACGCCCTCCTCGGGGGGCTTTCCGGCAGGGGCGGGGGCCGGGCGCTGGGAGGGAGGTTTTCCTCACCGAGCGCGCTCCGCGATTCTCAGGAGGGAAGGAAACACACAGACACAATTCATCGTCGACTCCCAGGAAAATAGGGGAAAATATGGGAAGTGGGGGCGAAGACAAAAACCCAGAAAATATAGGAAAATATGGGGAAACCTTCTTGTTTGTGTGTATTTATTTGTGTGTCCCAGGGCCCCTTCATGTTCGCAAAGTGCCTACTCGCAAACGTCCGAAAAAGAACATGTCTTCTCCTATGTAATGGATCGTAAATCCCCTCGCGGCGGATCCAGGCCATGTGCGAGTAGTTCCTCTGCGAGTAGAGGAACGCGCTTGTCCAGTTCCAGGGCTTTCGCGCGTATTCGCGGGCTCTTCAGGGCTTCCTCCCCGCGGGGGGCTCCCCAGCAGCTGCGCCTCGTCGAGGCCGTCCCCGGGGTGGGGTGGGGGGGGGCGCCTGGCCGATCCCGATCGGCCGCTGGAGGCCCGAGTAATGTCAAGGGAAGAAAGCCACCCCGACCGGACGATTGGCATTTACCGCAGGCCTAGAGGTTGACACCAACACCAAGATCGGCGGTGTGCCTCCACCGAGGGAAGACGATCCCGATCTCGGTGATGGTGGTAATATTCTGGCTTCCAAGGTGGCCGAAATATTGCCACCAACACCGAAATCTAGGATCATCTTCCCCCTGTGGAGGCACCCCCTGGGCTGGTGTTGGTGCCAATTTCCAGGCCTCCAAGTTTACTACTAAACGGCCCTGGGCGTTTACTATGCAACCCTGCCCTGTTTGATTCCTTCTTTGGGTGCGCTTGCTGAACTGCTTCGCGTGTCGTGGTGGTCCTTATCGGCGTGGTATTCACTACTCAACGGCCCTGGGCGTTTACTATACATTTGTATAGGGTCGCCGCAGCTGCGGCTGGCCCTGTCGGCGCAGCTGCCGCCTCGTGGCACCTCTGCCCACGGGCATCTCGTGAGGGGCTATGTTTCTGGGCTCGCTGTTCTGTAATCTGCATTCGTACACTTCGAGTAAGCTCTGCATGGTTTGGGCCTTTCTGCCCAGCGAGCTTACTGACGAGGCCAGGGAGTCTCCACTATACAACCCTGCCCTGCCTGATTCCTTCTTTGGGTGCGCTTGCTGAACGGCTTCGCGTGCCGTGGTGGTCCTGATCGGCGTGGACTTTCGGCCCCCTGTTGCAGCCCGACAGCCAAGACCCCCCCCTCGCGCCGCGAACGAACCGCGACGTCGGAGCTCTGGGGACGACGACCCCCGGTCCTCCGCTCCTCGCCGATCTGGGCCTCCTGGGTGCCCGGGCCCAAGCCCGCCCAGGAGCGCGGGGGTTTCCGCGATCTGTAGGCCTGTCGCCGATCCATCGGCGATGCCGCGTCGCTTCCGGGCCATCTGTCTCGAGGACGGAGCGTTCGCCAGCGTGGGTCCCAAAGTGTGCGCTTCCGGCAGCCTGGGCTGTGCAAGACGTGTGATGCGATCTAGGTTGCGCAATACACGTTGTGCAATCCAGGCTGTGCTGTCTGTGTGGTTCAAGATGTGGTGTCCCCTCGATGTGGTGCAATCTATGTTGTGTAACCTGTGTGGTGCAATCTTGGCGGCCCAAGCAATGTATTGTGCAAGCTGTGTTGTGCAGTCTCAGGTGGTGCAACCTATGTGATGCAATCTAAGTTGTCCAATCTCTATGTGGTGCAACCCATATGGTGCAAACTATGTGGTGCAATCTATATTGGGCAATCAATGTGTTGCAATATATGTCGTGTAATCCGTGTGGTGCAATATTTGCGGCTTTATATATGTTGTGCAAACTATGTAGTGCAGTCTAAACGGTGCAACCTATGTGGTACAATCTATGTGGTGCACTCCATGTGGTGCAATCCATGTGGTGCAACCTCTGTAGTGCAATGTATGTTGTGATCTCTATGTGGTGCAATTTCTAGGGTGCAAGCTACATGCAATCTACGCTGAGCAATCTGTGCGGTGCAATCTATGTGGTGCAATCGCGATGCCGAACTTGAAGGTGTCAACTCCCTTGCTCTCGCAATCATGCCACCCGCCCACCCGCAACATGATGTGCAAAACCCTTGCGGCTGCGATTGCGGTGGCTTCTTAGCGATGGCTGGCGCATCGCTGCGGCCGTGCTATCGCGGGCATGCTCGCGCGCAGAGCGGCCAGCTAGTTTGGCGCGACCGACGCGGCCGCGATGACGCTGACCGCTGGGGACTGCCTGGCTCGCGGGCGCTTCGGTGCGAGTCGGTGATGCGGGCGGGCGCAGTATCAGGGCGACGACGTGAAGGGCAGGCGCGCTGATGATGATAATGGCGATGCTGGTGACGATGATGGCAATGACGACGGCAATGCCGATGACGGCGCCGATGCTGATTTCGCCGATGACGATGATGGAATCCACGTGCAGGTGATTATGGTTTTGGAAGGATGTCGTCGTGCGCGTGCGGCCGACGCGCGCGAGTGGCCGGCGTGGTTGTTTTGACAGGGATAGTGCCCCCCCCCAGCGCGCGCAATGTCGTTCGATTGCTTTCGACATGAGCGCGCGAGAATCCCGTTTGGTGTATTTGATGAGCATGTTGGGATATATGATTTTCATGGTATTTTTGTTGCAGGCGCGCGGGCATACGTTCCACATCGTGTGGCGCAGCAGTTTTCTCGCAATCTTCCTGCGTTGTGTTCTCCTTTTGAATATATCGCTGCGGTCGCACAGCTCTTTGCCTCCCGTCCCCTCGTCCTCGCTTCTTCTTATTTGCCTGCTACCTTGCGTTCCACCTCGCCATTCTTGGAGCGCTGTGATATGCGAGGGTGCTGGGCGGAACGACGCCCCATGGAGATTCAGCTCAGACCTCGCCATCCCCAGGTGCTGCGATCTGCGAGTTTGCCATCATTTTGGAAAAGGTGCTCGGGGGTCCAACGGGGTGACGCTCCACGCAAATTCAGCTGAGCCGTCGCCATCCCCGGGGGCTGCGATCTGGCAGCATGTGGCAATTTTCGAAGCTTGCCGGGGGTCCAGCGGGGTGACATCGCACGCAAATTCAGACTAAACCTCGCCATCCTTGGGGGGGCTGCGATCAGCGAAACCGTCGCTGGTTTTGAAGGCTGCTGGGGGTTCAGCGGGGTGCCGCCCCAATCAGATTCAGCGTGAACCTCGCCGTCTCGGGGGGGCTGCAAACGGCGAAGGGGTCGCCAGTTTGAGGGTTGTTGGGGGGTCCAGCGGGGTAATGCCTCACGCAGATTCAGATTAGACCTCGCCATCCATGGGGGGGGGGGTGCGAACTGTTGCGAAACTGTGTCCAGCGCAGCGACGTCCTACGCGGACGCTGATGAGCCTGGATTTCCTCCCCCGCAGGCAGCCAGAAGGCCTGGCGGCGCCTCTGGGCGTTTAGCTTCTGCAGTGCAAGGTGCAGGAAGTAAACAGGAAACCTGGCAGGCGAGCTCGGATTCGTTTGCTTCTTGCACTAACTATGAACAGCTGATCGTTTGGAGTGCCAGAACGACATGGCGCGGGCCGCGTTGTTTGTCCAGCGTGCCGCTGGAAAATGATCGCCGCCTTCCTCCATCACCCTGCCCATTTCGTTGTCGTCCTCTTCGCTTCTCTGCCGTGCAGCTGCTGCTGTTCCGTTGAGTTTCTGGCCCTCTTCCGTCGGTTTGCTGCCCTTCTTTCCCGTCTCCATTTCATCTTCGAGTCTGGGGCCTCAGTCCTCGTCCTTCTGATGCTGTCTTGTTAGTCGCGCGACGCGCGAGCTTCGCATATAGCTTGCGCAACCAATGACAGCTTTTGCGTTGCCATCGACCATATTTGTTTGGACAAATTCCTTTTGTCATTTAGTGCGGATGGCTTGGGTGCGTCGCCTGTGTATTTGTCATATGTTTCAGGACGTCAGCTCTTGTTTTTTTGCGGACACCGTGACAATTTTTGCACGGTTTTCGGCATGCGCGCGCGACGACGCGCGCGTGTGGGCTTTGTCATGTTGTGCGAACGGTTGCGTGGACATTGAAGGTTTACGATCAACTCGTGTGCGCGTGTAGTTATATCTGTCTGGGAAGAGAGGGAAAGGGAAAGAGGGCGATTCCAGTTTGGTTTGGATGATACGAGGTTCGTATCTAGTGCAAATGTAAGTTGCACAGCCCCATGAAAAAAAAAGGGGGAAGGGGCGGGTAGGTCCAGGGAGGGGGGCGGGGGTGGGGCGGGCAGACCACGTGGTGCAATCTATGTGGTTCAACTTTTGTTGTGGAAGCGATGTGGCGCAATTTAAATGGTGCAATCTACATGGTGCAATTAATTTCAGTTCGCAGCGCGTTGTCCACTTCGCTGTTCGCGTAATCGTCCCACCAACCCACCCGCAAGTTGGTTTGCAAACCTCCTGCGGTGGCGGTTGCGATGAGTGCTTGGCGCTGGCTGGTGCATCTCTGCGGCCGCGCCAGCCCGCTCATGCGCGCGCGCACAGCGGCCAGGTAGTTTGGCGGGACCGACGCGGCCGCGGTGGTGCTAACCGCGCGGCACACCCCAACGGGCACTTGAGTGCGAGTCGGCGACTTGGGCGGGTGCGGTATCATGGCAACGCTGTTATATATGTATGTATAGATGTAGGTACATATATACATACACGCGTACGGATCCTGTCACCCCAGCACGCGCGCAAGGGCGTTCGAACGATTTCGACATGCGCGCGCGCGCGAAACCCGTTTGGTAGGATTTCATGAACGTGTTGGACAACGCTTTTGTTAAACAAACAAACGAATTCGCAAAAACGCGCGCGTTTTTTTTCAACGTCGGTGTTGCAAAATCATACGTTTCAGTATGTTTTTTTTGACGCCTCATTTTGAAATCCTCCCGACGCCGCACGTTTTTGAAGGATTTCGGCATGCACGCTCGACGACGCGCGCGTGCTCTTCGTTTCATTTTTTGCAAACGGATTGTCGCGACAGCACGCGCGCAAGGGCGTTCGAACGACTCTTC